ACATATGATTCATGGGTGCATTTGATCAACACCGTGAAGAAAAGAATGATGTATTTTCTTTTAAATTACCAATTAGACATTTACTCCCCATATTTAGTGACAGGGGCTTTAGCTTCTTTATATCCAAAGTGCACCATTTATAGCTCACTGTAGAACTGAAATACTGTCTTCTCGCTCACGCCTACCTCTGAAAGTGAAATTTATGTAATATTACGGCATATAAATGAAACCATCCTACCTCCCTGTTTTATTGTCATGGCATGCTTGCTTGAACTGTTTCCTTTGGTAATAAATAGGCAGAATCTGTTGTCCCCTGGACATTTAAAGGGCTTTTTATTACAGGTTGCTTTCTGGTTTACATACCATGTTATAATTTATTTCAAATAATTTCTTTAGAATTATAGTTTTGCTCTGGCATTGATTGATGCATGTTTACTTGGGCACTTGAGTTTACTTCCTTGTAAATATATATGTGTAATATGTAGGTATTGTGTGTGAGATGCTTCTTCTGGAGATAATATTAGCAACATAACAATCTGGAACTGTAAGAAAATGCAGTTGTACTACAGGCAATAAAATATCCTTTGGTTTGCGAAGGAAATTTTTGGAGTTTTCTGAAAAAGGGCATTTTATTTTGATATATTTGGGAAAAGACAAGGTTAAAAAATAAAAAATATTTAGTAATCACAAACACCTAGATAATTTTTTACTCAAAATTATTCCCATGTAGATAATTCTGAAGTCTTGTCTACTCTGTTTTAAGCTATGCTTGAGTTATGAGGTTCCCAGGCATTGCTTTTTTCATAGCATCTACGCCTTCATGACCCTCGGCTCAGACATGGGCTCTTTTATTAAATAGCTTTGAAAGCAAGTTGCTGACAACAGGTCCTGCAGAATTGTTGTTTTGCTTTAAAGAGTCTCACCTTTGAAATTACCAGTATATTAAATAGTGTGAGAGTAGCTTTAATGAGTGGTTCAACATGAAAGATATATTTTTACTACTTATATAAATAGCAGAAAATGATTTTCTTTAAAAGTACCCTGTTCTACTATCTTTGGCTGTTACTCTAGGTTTCTTTGTGCTTTTAGAGATTGGTAAGATTTGAAACAGATAGTGTCACAAGACATCCCAGGGGAAAATACGATATGAGAACACTTTCATATTGATTTAAGTTTAAAAAAAATTCATTATTTATGGATCCAAAAGGGATTTTTTTCCTCCACTTAAAGTTACTTTCATTCTCACGGCCATGCTGGAGTTGGTCATTAAACTTTAAAACTTCATGCTGTTTTTGTAGTTATTGAGAATTTTTTCCCAAATAAATTCCCAAACTGTCTTCTTGGCCAAATCTCAAAACTGTGATACAGTAGGTGTTGTTACTGGCAACGGTTTAACTATGTCATGACTTATTGTCAGAATACTACTAACATGTAGCTGTCCTAATAAGTCTAAATACCTTATGTATCTCTAGTAGTCCATATACTTTGATTTGTATGGAGACCTGATCTTTTTTTATGTCACTTGTCTAACTAAGCTCTGTAAAAATTAATACATTATTTTGTTTTCTTCCTGATTACTTCCAGAGATGTCTATATGAGGATGAATTTAGAATTCTCTGTGAAAAAGATGTGCAAGTTTTGTTTGTATACTTCTGCTATTTTTGTGAGTTGTTCTTTGAGTGACAAGGAGAAAGTAATAAAATTATTCAGTCATGAGACTAATTGAGTAGATGAAAACAATTTTGGGATATGTGATTCTGGCATCAGAAGATGTGCTGAATGTTTTAATGCAGTTCTTCACAAATCAGATGACATGCTGTCTGAAATGTGTGAAGAGCTATCTGAGAGAGAGAGAGAGAGAGGAAGGTGGTATAGAGAACTCTTATTTGTTCCACAGAATTTCAGATATTATTCTTGGAAAAAAATGAAAAATAAAAAATGATAGGTCTTCTTTCCTGAGTTTGCAAGGAACCTGAAGCAATGAAAGAACAGTATGAACTACCATTGATTTCATGGAGTTCAAGCTCCAGTACAACTGATGACAATCAATTTATATTATTCAGCTCTTTTATTATTTAGCAATTGATACAAGAACAGAAAAGAATGTATTTTAATATGACGGTTTACATCATCCCTCCCTGAAGTATTTTCCTGAAAAGATAGGCACTCAGCTATCAGAATTAGCTCATTGCAAGATGAGAAAGGAATTAAATTAAGTCCCTTGTACGAGACAGAATTATGCTGGATTTATGTGGCCCAAGACAAATGATAACAATCAGAACAAAAAGAATGTGTTTGTGTTAGTTCATTTAAGTATCAGTAGTGGCCCTATTCAAACCATCTATTGCAAGGCCCTTACCTTAGCCATTGTGACACCTAAATAGTGAAGGTCTGATTCAGGTGCGCCTTGAATTTATGGGCATGAGAGAGAGCCTACCAACACCATGAACAATTTAAGTGTCCGAGTAAGGCTCTTGCTTCTCTCCATCAGAGAGTTTAGGTGCTTCCTTGATAGCTGCCTTCATGTACAAAGAGGGAAACCATGTAGACCCAGCTAATAGGGAATAGTAAAGCAATTGTATCTGATATGTAGTGAAATTCTCAGAGCTATGTAGTAGGATCCTCTGATCAGCTGGAATCTCATCAGTGAACTCATCTCTGAGGACAGGCAGGTGAAGATAGAAGACTTGTACTATAGCCAAGGTGTTAGGTGCTTTCTCCAATGTTTGGAGAGCTGCTTCAGGCTGGGTAGCCTCAGTCTTTTTATTAGTTGTCTGTAGCGTGCAGCAATGTGGTCCTGCACTTGGTGCAGAGTTCCTGTGCACCATTCGGTATGAACAAACTTAAGACTTGTGGGTGGAAGAGGTCAGAGGGGAAAGGTTGCATGACCTTAGAGATTTACAGGAAATTTCCAGTGTCTGAGGACTGACAGAAGCTATCGTACCTAACAGGGTAGGTTTGATTTACTTTGGAAATACGCAATATTCTGTCACTTGGAAACTTTCATTTTTCATGGCTATTGGATGATGCAATTTACAACACAGAAAAAAGTCCAGATCGACAGCCCTAACAGACCTTCTTATATTGCCTACAAGGTCTTTGTATCCTTGTTTTTAAGATCTGTTTCCCTTCTTCTGTGTTCCTGCCTTGTGGGAATAACCTCGGTGGAGCTCATAAAAACAGAAAAACAGTTCGATAAATATATGCTTTAGACAGTCTTGCGTGTGGGCACAAAATGATCTAAGACTTGATTTAACCTCCATTCAGTCATGATACTGAATTGTAGCTGGTACGTAAAATGAGTCAGAGTGACACACAGCCAGTGAATGTGGTCAGTCATACAAAGACCACCATTCAAAGACACAGTACAGCTCTTGGCATTGTGACTGTTAGGGGATTCACAGAATCACAGAATGTTAGGGGTTGGAAAGGACCAGTTGTGTTGGGTTTTTTATTGAGTGCGTAAGTAGCAAAATGGGATGAAAAAAAGAGACACGTCCTTTCCTCTTATTTCATAATTTAAATGTGTATTCTACAGTCAACCACGGAGTAGAAGATGAAGACATTTCATGTTATCTGAATGTCGTTCTTTGGGTTTTTTGTCCCAGACTAGGCATTCCTCACTTAATCTAATACTTCTCCCAGGTAGTACTCTGAACACAAAACACCCTCTTGACTTACCAGGTCTCCAAAGTGCTCAGCTTCTCCCAAAACCCTGTCCTGTAATCTCTGCAGTCTGATGTTCCCAGATCTCGGGCTGCTTCCTCTTCTGTGTCAGCATACATGAAGATTCCTCAGTGCAGAGAAGCATCCCATGCAGTACTTTCCCACTAAATATATATAACTGCACATCAGTGTTTCTGCTGCTTCCTAGTCTGCAGGTAGATTTGGAAAATCTTGCATGTTGGTCAGCTAGGAAAGAAAGGAGCAGAGAAAGGAGCCTGTGCACAGACCTCTGTTTCAGTGGAGCTTGATTTTATTTTAACATAAGATCCTGTATTCTCCACCCTAACTTGTTTGCCTGCTGTCTTTAGTCTGTCTCAGCATTATATGCTCCAGGTACTGCTAAATGGTAGTCCTTTCGGGTAGTCTGTAGCAAACTTCTTGGAATCTATAATGACGCAAAATCTGGATCGAGGCCTGTAATGCCCATACAGGTCCAAAGAATTACTAGCTGATATGAGATAACCTGGCAAACCCATTTCAGTAAGATTTAGCTTGCAAGCCCTAGCATCATTAAATGAGGCTTATGACCAGTTTTTATTATTGGAGACTAAACTTTTCTCTCCCTATTTTCCTGCCAAATGAAATTATCAGATTTTTCTAAAGTGATGAGTCTGAAAAGCTGAAGTGTTTTATCAAAGACAAAAGATCAGGATTTCCGTTGTAGATGTATTTAGGAAGAGGCAAAAGTGTAGGATGTTTTTGTTGGTGGGTTGGGTTTTTTTTTGATTCTTAATCTGTGTTCCTAGTCAAAAGAAAGAACATTCCCAAAGATGCTGTTTTGTGATAGAGTCGGATTATGCAGACAAGAGAACCTATCAGCTACTCTACTTTTGCAGCTTGATTTTATTAGGAAGTCAGCTGTCCTTGTTCTTCACACTGGTATCCAAATATTAAGATCTTCCCTCGTGTCTGTTTCCCTTCCTGTTACAAAAGCAATCTAATCATGCTACAACACTTTTAAAAATTTTTTTCCATGCACAGTTCTTCATAATTAGTTGATATAGGAAACCCACTTGAAAAGGACACTGTTTACAGAACGGCATGCGAGAATGTTTATCTGCCCTTCGCCTGCAGGAACCAAAGGATGGATGATAATCCTGGAGTTGTTTTGGCCATGATTATATCATGGATGGCAGGTTGCCAGTAGCAACTGCAGAAAGAGGTCCAGGGTGTCAGTGTCTTCCTCTGTTTGATAGAACAGAGAACATTTACATTTTCTGAACCATCTCAGGGAAGGTTTGTGGCAGATTTCGGAGGACTTGAAGTGACAAGAGATGGAAAAAAAGCTGCCTGCAGGTTGTATGCCAACCTGTCCTCCTGTGTTGGCTCCTCCAGGCCTGGCACCACTGACGTTTTCTTTGCCCTTCTTTCTAGAACATTTAAAAGAGAAGCTGGAGGAATACATGGTCCGTTTTGCCAAAGTGAGGATTGTACGTACCAAGAAACGAGAAGGGCTCATTCGGACCAGACTGCTAGGAGCCTCGCTGGCTAGAGGAGAAGTCTTGACATTTCTGGATTCTCATTGCGAAGTCAACGTGAATTGGCTGCCTCCCTTGCTTAGTAAGTGTATGAGCGTTCTTCAGCCACTAAAATTAGAGCATACAGCATAGCTTAAGTAACTGAGGCCATCTCCCACAATAAGCTGGACATACACTGTATAGAAGTGTTTAGAGTTCTGCTGCAGTGTCTGAAGAGTGAGTATGAGAGAGAACTCAAAAAAATGTAAGCAGATCCTTTTTATGGTTCTTGTGACTAAAGAACTGGTAAAATTTTGAAGTATCACTTTGGCCTATTTGAGTTACAATCTATTTTACTACTACTACTACTACTAAATACGCTACTAAATCTAGTGTTATGCTTTGCCCTTACTATACACCTGAAAACTTTCATTACGCAGGTATTGTACTCTTTCCTAGTCTTCCACATTCCATTAAAACAGCTTTTGCTCTAAATGTATCCGAGACCTCAGAGTAAAATTCAATAACAACTACATTCACAATAGGAAGCTCAGAAAGAATGATTTGCTATTGACTGCTTTGCTGGCTTCCAGCTGCAGCTTGCAAAGCTCCATTAGTCAAAGGAATGGAAAGAATCAATTGTTGTAGTGTAGGATTTCACTTCAGGAAACAATGTCCCCTTTTCTACACACCTGACTACATGCAAAGTGTATGTGCTTTGCAAAGTGAGTGCTTTTTAGCTATCAAAACCAAAGAAAATTTCTGTGTTTGCTATTAGAAAAATTTGTATTCATTAAAAGAATATGTCGTAAGTACATGACAGGATAGGGTTTCACCAATTAGTGGGTTTCTTTCTTGACTTGTTGCTGTGACTGTTTAGCTACACAATAAGCTATTAAAGCATTTGCAGCCAATAAGAGGTGCTGTTCTGTTAATGAACTATCACTTGAGACAAAAAAAAATACTAACAACTACTTTTTCTTCAGATCAGTAATGAGGTAATATACAAAATTCCAAATTTATGTCCTTTATAGCTTCCATATAAAATTACACATAAAATCTTTTCCCTTGTTACTACTTTGCCCTTAATCACAACATTAGCATTTTCAAAAATACCCTCCCCATCTTCACGTAAAGCCTAAATGGCGTAAAGGAGCAGAGGGAAATATAAGTTCTACAATCCTTCCACAAGCAACCCTGACAAGTAGCTGTTAAACTCTCAGGATTATTCTACATATACAGCAACCTTTCTTTTGCTTTCTGATTTTGTCCCACTGCACATCATACATTGCCACTAATGAAAAAAAAAAAAAGTCAAGAAGATTCTTACTCTTGTCCTCTGAAATCTTCTGCTGAGTTATTGCAGCTGAGATGGAACCCTTCTGTTTTGCTAACTAGACGCTGTTGCAAAACCAGTTCTTTTTCTTGCTTTCATGTCTGAAAGGAAAGTGCATCTAGCTAGGTTTCACCCTATGAAAGCTGAAAAATAAATAGAACGGTCACAAAGGACTCCTAATTGCAATTAGGTTGCCGTTGGGTGTTGAACTGATCATTCTGTCAGCCTTAAGCCAGAAAACTAGGAAGAGGAGAGAAGCTTTGTTAGGGACCAAGTACCAGTTATCCTTAGTTATCAAGTGGAGTGAGATCTTTCTCATTCCACATATATTAAAAATACATATAGCTAACCAGCCAGAGGGTTTGGAAATTAATCTTGAGGAATACTTGGAGCCCAGAATCAATAGGCTTTATTTTGAAAGAAAAGGTGTAGCATTACATGAAGAAGGACACATGGACACAGCTATTATATTTAAGGATGCCCTGTGCCCTGTTTTCCTAAAGGGATGAGAGAACTTTCTCATAACCATTAGGTGGCAAATATTTGCTATACTGAAATTAGATGGCACCTGGCTACTAATAATAGTAAAAATTTATTTTTGCAAGTGTTTACATTATGTAAAGATCTATCTTGTGATTCACTCACAGAGGATATATTAGGTATTTATTGCTTTGAAGCTGCCCTGTTTTAGCTCTGATTGTATCTGCAATGTGTCGTGAAAAGTCTTCAATGAGATCATAGCTCAGCCCTTCTCCAGACTGAAGACTGACAGTGTTGGCTGAAAAGGGCAGTGGTTTCCACTGTTCCAAACCAGGTTCACAATGAGACTTTGAATGTTAGAGAATGAGGAGGTGGTGACGAAACCATGGTCAATCACATAAAGACAGTTCTCAATGTTATTTTGGTGTCTAACACATATTTTTGGAATTGACTGTCACTTTTTAGACCAAAGGAAGACTTGAGTTATTTCAGTACTTGTTAGGTATCTAAACAGCTTTGTGGAGCTGAGCCACTGTTGTTTACAGTTACAGTCCTTTGTTTTATTTTCTTAAAAATAGGTGCAAAATGTCTTTTCTTTAAGCTTTATTTAGTTCATTTCTGTAGCTTAAATGGGTTTCTAAACTGAAATCTTGGAGAGCTTTGCCTGATGTGATGTTCACTGAGCTAGCAGCTGTAGTCAGGAAAATGGTGGCAAACACAGCTGTTTGTTGTCACTCTTCAGTAGCATAAAGCCAGCAGAAGGAAATAAGTGACTTGGGCTCTAGCTACTGTAGCTGAGAGTCTCCTGTAGCGTGAAGTCACAGTTATTACAGGTGAGAAACTGAGCAGCAAACAAGATGAAAAATGCAGGCACATCTTCCCTTTTGCTGATGTTGCCATGGGAGCAGTAAATGGGGAGATGGACAATGCATCAGTAGTGCCATGGGCTACCAGAACTAGGTTTGTCAAAGCAGATTTTTTTCCTGACTAAGACTTAAAACTACATCATGATTAGATTGTGCTTAGCAAGTCATCAAGACACCTGCTAGCTATAGCTGTCCATCTCCACAACATTTATATGATGCATTACTTGCCAGTGGGGAGACTTAGAGTACAAGTACTTATGACAACAACTGAACCACTCAAATGTCACCACCTATAATCACATATTAACGCAGGAAGAGTATTTGCGACGTGGCATTATTACTTTAAACAAGCCAATACAAAACAAGTACTTGAAATTAATCTTTCTTATTTTTTGAGATAGTGACTTAGTCAATATTGAAAACTTCTGTTTATTGCCACATAGGCACACTCTGCTCAACACTGCAAGTACTTTATTCACATTTGTACGTATACATTGCTTAAAACTGGTAAGAAGAAAGCTCTGAGCAGTGTTACCTCTTGTTCCCAGGCTTTCTCTCCAAGCTGCAAGTTTTCCATATGTACCATGAGGCTTATTTGTCTGTTCTTCCCTTTATCTGCAGCATATATATACATTGATATAACGCATGGAAATTTTCAGACCAGTAGGAATTTGAGAGGTTAATGAGTAAAGGCTATGGAAAAGAAACCGTGTAAAGCATTTCAGCTGTGGCTTTCAGTGTCTTGCATTAGGAGCAAATAGGATAAAGAGCAGTGGCTGGCAAAGGCAGCAGCATATTCACATCTGTAAAGCTATGATACTAGCTTTCTTGTGAAAGGTAAGGTAGCCCTACAACTCTTTTTTCTCTTTCCTAAATTTTTTATTGAGGCTACATTTAAGCCTAAGAAGTATGTATGACAAATTTATTATTTTAGACATGCTAAAGAAAAAAACATTGTAACTGCAAGCTTGATTACTCTGCCTTTTGGAATGCACAACAACTCTGGTTTCTTTGAAAGTCGAGACCTTCCTGTGGTTTCTCATAACTTCTCAAACGTCTTTGGGGCTAAAATGTAAGTTCAGTAGAAACACACAAAAACAGGCAGGTAAGCATCGTCTTACTTGCAAAATTCTTGCAGAGTTATAAAAATAAAGACTGGGACTGAGCTTGAACATTGCTCAAATAATATCCTCCCTGGCTATCTCTGTATATGACTTGGAGATTTCCAATCCTTCAGCCTATTTAAAGGCAGTGACTTCTAAAGATCAAGAGAAAGATGCTAATGTATGATGAGTCTACCTTTGACCTGCTCCAGCCAAATCAATCCCATTTAGTTTCTCTTCTCCAATCAATTTAGAAGGAGGGAATCAGAGACAGATTATTATAAGCCCTATAACTATTAGCAGCACCACCACAGGAAAGAGATTATGTAGAAATGACTTTACATAATGATTACAGATAACACTACACAGTATACCAGTGAATGTAGTTGTATTTGGCAATAGTAACAGTAATGCAGCCATTATGTCTGAGATGAGTTTCCTAGAATTTTGTGAGAGACTGTGCTTTAAATTTATTTCAATGCTGAAGGATAATGATGTAGAAACCTGCTGACCTTCCAGGCACAGTAATTTTTCACTAGTGGTCAGCATTGTTCCTCCATTTGGACAGTCTCTAAACAACAACTGAGAATAAATACAAAACCTGAAGATATTTCACTAAGATAAGCTTTGTTCTTAATTTCAACCCTTCAGAAGCAAGGAACTAGAATCTGTATTATTAATTATAATATCAGTATTACTTGCCTTCTGATCTAAGTCCCCACTCAGTCTTCTGATTTCAGGGTATTAGCAAGCACCGGTGAAATCTAATCCTTAAAAACAACAAAAAACAGCTTCTTCACATAGACCCTATAATGTAGTACATTTTGTAAGGAATCTAGGCTGCCATTCAGAGAAAAAGCTTTATTATGCTTGTAATTTTGAGATTTTGTTTTTTCAGGGGCTCATAGATAGTTTTTCTACTGTCCTTTCCTGCCAACACAGCTACAATTTTTTGCTGTACTTCTGTATTTCAGACCATTATTTTGCTGCATAGTTCTTGCATTTGGAGTATCTTCTTCGCTTTTCTTTCTTTTCTGAGGAGCTTCATGGGATTAAGTAACAGGATTCACCAAAGCAGACTCAGCCCTGCCCTGTCCTTATACTAGAGATGGGAATTTGATTTAGCCTCACAGTTCTAATTGTTTTTCAAAATTCAGTAAGAAACTCCTTTCTTTAGGAAACAGGTGAGTAAGGATAATACTGCGGAGCCTTCTTTATATCTCAAAGGTCAATACAGAAAAAGGACATAAGCCTTGTTTTGTTCTGCACATTGGAGTTTGCCTTCAATCTGCAGCAATTGATCTCAAAGCTGATGCACATTAAAGCCACAGGAACAGCGGCTGGGTGGTTGCAAGGGCCAAGATTCATGTTTAGGAACACAAATCTCTCTTGCAGGAGCTTTCCATACACTCCCCACAGCTGAAGGTGCATTTTTACATTTTGCTTGCTGGCTTGTTCCATAGCTGACAGATTGGGGACAGCTCAGAGTAGCAAAGTGACAGAGATATAGATGACTGGACTCCTGTGGGTCTCACAGGGATATGCCTCCCTTTAAAGAACTGTAAATGCTTCTAATCATTGCCCAACTGCATTAAGTCAAGTCTGCATTTGATACAGATTTGAAAAATTAAATGATTTGGGGGCCATAGGGAACAAAGCAAGCAATCTTCAAACATCAGAAAACCTGTGGGATTCACTTTGTAGTAGTATGATAGATGGCTTGACTAGACGTGCCGTTTCCTATTTTCTACTTTCATTTTTCAGACCAGATTGCACTAAACCACAAAACCATCGTGTGTCCTATGATCGATGTCATTGACCACAATCACTTTGGCTACGAGGCACAGGCGGGGGATGCCATGAGAGGAGCTTTTGACTGGGAAATGTACTACAAAAGAATACCGATTCCTCCAGAGCTCCAGAGAGCTGATCCCAGCGACCCCTTTGAGTAAGTAGCAGTAAAGGGGAGAGTGGGAACATGAAGCAGAGAAGAAGCAAAGAAGGTAACTGTAGCAGAAGAATCCAAGCCCAGAAATTTCCATGTAGGCCACTTTATACTGATGAAAGATAGCAGAAGCAAACAGCTTCTAAACAGGTTTGTAAAACCTCAAAACTAGGAAAAAAAGTCGGGGCAACAAGTTGCAGAATTCACAAGCTGTGGCTAGAAATACAAACCTTCCTCATCTTTTCTGGCCCAGTAGCTGTACATCAAAGGAAAAAGCACGTACTTGTAGTTAAAAGAAGACATTGATACTGGGCAAGGAGTGAATGTGACTACAGTTATTCTGTTTATTCCACAGACTTTTATTCCTGAACAGACTTTAGTTTAATGTTGTCTTTGCTGAAGATCAGTGAATCAGTAGCTGACTCCACATTCCGCCAGCAGATGCTTTGTCTCTAACTGGTGATATTGCTACTGTGTAAGTATTGCTGTAACTTAGACACAGAAATGTGAAACTTGCATAGTGTCAAGCTGATTTGTAAATAATTTTTGATATATTAGCCTCCGATCCCAGTATTGTGCATAATAGTTACTTTACAGGAATGGTATTCTACTTTTCACAACACTGTATCTTTTTTTCTTTTAATTATTCTCATGAAAGGGCCAGCAAGGATTAATCTACATCAGCAGAGAGGGGACAGACAAACAGGCATGGTTCAATGTGGCAGTCTTCAGGTCTCACACAGTGCTCATCCCAGCAGGCCTGGCAGCAGGACTGGCTTTGGCACTGTCAGTAGCCCTGGCTGAAGCTCCACACTGCAGGTTTTGGCACTTTAAAAGCTCAGCGTTTTCCCATCCCCAAAACAAAACCTGGAAACAATAGCAACAGAAATCCTCTGTCTCTGGCCCAAACTGCACTATTTTGAAGTAATGGATCTGATTCATACAGAAATTGACCCTAATATCCAAGAAATAACCAGCTCTGTATAGGGAGAAGTAGGTAATTGTGGCATTCAGTGGGCTTATTTTCATTATTCTGCTTGTTCCTTTTTACTTACCTCCATCTGGGCCCATCAGTTTTCATCCTGCATTGATCTAAGTGCTGATGAAGTAGTTTCCATCAGTTGCCACTGTGACCACTCCACAACATAGATGCAGCTAAGTGCAATCACATAACATCTGGAGCTGCTAGAGTCTCCATTAGTCTTCCTGGTCCTCCGAGCAGTTGTAATTTCTTGCCACTTACTGATAGTCACCTACCACATCATATAATTTTGTTCTCCTTTCAAAGATTGTGTAAGACTTCTATATTGCCAGTGTGTCTATGGCACTGCTTATCAGCCATTTCGCACGTTTGCAGTTTGTCGTACACATCTCTCAAAGACAAGAGATACCTGAAGAGGAGGCAATCATAGGAAACTTTCTAGAATAGACTAGGCTTTGTGCAGTACAGAACAGATGTGGTGGTTTTGCATGAACTGTTGTTACAATCACCACGGCAGAGGTTGATGCCCACCTTGCCCTGCTTGAATTCACAAGACACACAAATAAATGGCTTCACAAAGATCAACATATGGGACAATACAACCTATAAATCTCTTGTCGTCTAGGTAGTCATCTCCCCAGGAAGGTGGAAAGGCTTCCTGGTTCTTACACAAGTCAGTGAGTGTCTTCCTTCGTTTTCCCCGTCAGAGCGATGCAGATGGAAAAGTAGCATTGCACATGGAACTGCCATGTCCATCCCCACTCGTGGCAGCAGGATTGAAGGCTGGCTGAGCTAGGACGATACCTTTGCTCAAAAGTACCCTTTGCCTACAATGGCAAGAGTGTAGAAGTATTTTAAACAATCACTGTGAATTTTCCTTGGACTAGGGTTTAATTTATAATTTAAAGTCAGTATTGCTTTTCTTCTAGGGCCTTATCTGTTGACACCTCAAGCTTTTAATACCTTACTTACAAGGAGTATGGTAAACCTTACAAACCATTTTAGATACTAGTAACTTAATTGACCAATACAGCTTCTACAGAGCTAAAGAGACAGAAGAGTTTTCCTTTAAGAGTTTTCCTTTAAGTGCATATATACTAAAACTAAAAATGGCTTCAGCCAGCAACATAATTATTATGTTACTATTTTGTAAGCAGCACAGACTTTTTTTTTTAATTTATGTTAAATATTTTACTATTGGTGTCCTAATAGCTTTATTTCTTGCCAGCAGCATCAGATCTGAGATGATGCTTAATGAACTGGAAAATTGCCAGCATTTTTTAGTAAAATACTAGGAAGTAATGGATACGTGATCTAAAAATTGCGCTCATGAGGTTTTTTCCCTTCACTTAAAATGCCAACTCAGTATGCAAGTTAAGCAGAAAAGATCACATCAGCCTAAGAAATAACGTACATAAAACCAGATCAAACTACAGAAGACCCAAGAAGAGTCATTGTATTATCTGAATAATGGGTTTGCTTTCCATCTGCCCATGATCAAAATACTGCTGCAGCAGACATCAGCAGAGTGTTTGCTGTTGGCACAAAAATAAGGAGTGTTGTCAGGAAAGCTTTTGGTGTGACACCAAGTTTCTCATAGGTTTCACTGAACCAAGCTATATAAAAGGTATTTTCAGTCAAAGCTTCTCTGTGAATTATTGGATATTGTTCTGTGCTCATTGTAGTGTTTAGGGAAGTTTAACAACTATTTCATAAATGGATCTCATGTAGCCTTTAAGAGTAGCTATTTTTCTGAAAGATCTGTGTTGCTCTTTTTCAGGATACACTGAATGCTTAGACGTGTGGAAATCAGACTTCTCCCCTAATACATACTATATCTGTGAACTCCTTGTTGCTTTCTCTTTTTTGTGTGCTACAGAGACAATAGAAGTTTTATATTGCATTCAACCGACCTGTCACACTTGTGGCTCACCACGGTTGATTGTAGCGATTTCTCTCTTGAGATGTACGCAATATATTCTGGAGAGGGCTTCATGCTCTTTTCCTCTGATGCATTCAGGGTTGCATAAAAACACAGAGCAAATTGGTGTTCTGATGTATTGTGGGAATTTATCAGACAATTGTGAAATCATCATTCTGTCACAATAATGCTCACTGTTTTGATCCCAGGGTCAAAGATCATTCAGTAGAATTTGAGATGGCTCGGGAACTTTTCTCGTCTATTCGCAGGGAAGACCAGAGATGTTTACTGCCTTCGTGGCAAGGATCACCTTGTCTCATTACTTCTCGATAGTTTGTTTCTCTGTGATGGCAGAGGTTTGGGATCATACCCGTTTGGGACATGAGAGCAGGCTCTTGTGTGGCTGTTTTCCTGCAGTGCAAGCACTCTAGTCTCTGGAGTTTGCCTAACCCAAGCAATTGCCACTTAAACTAATAGGGTAACCTTGTTACTATAATGGACTGTGATATACAGCATGTCAGTTTATATGATATAATAGCCTGTTTGGGCTAAAAGCTCTGTGGAAGTTCAAAGCAGAGGCTTGTACGCTCAAGCCTGCTGGGGATGACTGCTCTTTATTTCCTGGCAGCACTTACATCAATTCATGTTATCAAATGCCCCATCTGAAAATAGGTATCGGTGCCCTTTCATACCAGCAGCAACATATTTTTAACCAGATAAGAAAACATCAAAAATTCAACTCAAAAACCTAGCAGAGATCAATGAGGGTAGGAAGGGTCTGCACAGCTCCTCAGAGTAGTTTTATGGTGAGGTAACCATATCGTGCAGAAGGGAGAGAAAGGTGTGGGTGAGACCTAACAGCATTGCTATTGTATTGCAACTCAGGATGGAAATCCTAACCCATGAGATGAGTGCTGTGCTACTTACTGAATGCCAAGATTTCTAGCACCTACCTTGGAAAGTTACTAGTTTCTTGGTATGTGACCACTCCTTTCTTTACAAGAGTTCTTTGCTTACTGATGTAGACCTGTCATTTCCAGACCTCCCTGAAAGGAGACTAAGCTGAAGAATCATGTAATTCTAGTAAAGGACCAGATTACTTGGTATTTTCTGTTGAACTGCATGTTTAAAATCACCTTATTACTATGTAAGCTATGTTCTTTTATTTGAATTGGACATACTCTCAGGAATAGTCTCTCTGCAGCTCCTTACTTTCAGTATTTGTATGCACTTTTTATAACATGGTGCAAAGAAAGTCTTTGCTAAGGCTGCATTTCAAATCTGACAAGTACTTTTACAATTTTATGATCATCTTCTCAAGTTTAGAAAGTGCATTGGACAATGATTTCTGTTCTATAGCTCCCAGTGCTTTGTAATGTCTGTCTTTTATGGCTGATTTCTGCCTATAAACATATTCATAAACCCTCTCACAACCAGAAACAATCATCTATTTTTTTAAAGCCTGAGTATAATCTACTGTTTTGAACTGTGCTACAAGAATATTTGATGCAAAGGCATTATTCTACAGAGAAGCAGTTTCCCACCAGTGTGAGTTTGTGTAATTTAAGGTCTTAATCTATTATTTTGGCAAGCTGTGGTCTGTAGAAGAGATATAACAATAGCTTTTACAAACTGCTGTCCACCCATGGCCACATGAAAATCTCAGAAATTTTTTTAATGAAAAATGCTAATACGGGCAAACCATTTATGAGTGAAGATATACATATTCAATCATTTTCTCCTGCCTTTGGTGAGATTTCAGTGTAGAGGCTCTGTACAACCAGTATATTTTCTCTGAAGGCCAGTTCAGAAGAGATAACTCTACAGAGTATATGTAACCTGTCAGAATAAAAAAAAAATACTAAAAATAATCAAAGATAAAAAACAGCTGCTGGTATAATTTTTATAACCTCAAAGTGTCACTCAAGGAATTAACTGATTCCTGCATACTAGTTTAATTGGATAGACTCACATTTGATACACAACTTTTTACTTGAAAGTTAATAGTGGCTCATACCTCCTAAGGCAAAAGAAAACCTAATTTTGTTCCTAATGCCTTGATGCTGCCGTGCCAAAGTAGCTTTTTCTGCTTCTATGGAA